CTGACGTGTGAACGCTGGCAACGTGCTGGGCTCGTGCTGGAGACCATTAGTAGCTGGGCGAAACGCTACCATGTTCAATCGCAACCTCAAGCGTAGAAACGAAGGTTTGGCATTTCCAGTCTTTTTGGAAATTGTTGGTTGGAGTCAGTTGGGAGCAAGCCTTGAAGAGTGTGTGTTGATACTTGCATTGGCATGGCCCCTGCTTATCTCTTCTATCTCCTGTGTTGCACTCAGGTAAACAGCGTTTGACTCCCGATGGAATCGGCTACAGTATTGTGATCGACTCCTGCCGGAGAGCTTGCAAAACCAGCACAGGGGTGCCAAGTAGCGTGCCCTTGCTCCTAGTAGCGTCCTTGCTCCTAGTAACGATGCCGGAGCCCCTAGTAGCGTCCTTGCTCCTAGTAGTAAGGCCAGGAGCAACTGGGTTGACTTCCGTGAAAGGCTACTGCCAGAATTCCGTGAGACCAATCAGACCGCCAAGCTGTTCATACTCCAGACCAGGGTGGACCGGGTTCAGAGTTTTCCCAGCTTGCAACTTTTTTGGCTAAAAGCGGGATCATGTGCCAGACCTCAACAGCGGTCATCTAGTGGCATCCAGTGGCCCTTTGGTTTTTGATGACACCCCTCATGCTGGCTCATTCTGATCAGTCCCAGACTGACGGGAGCGATAGCCAAGAGCCCCCTAGATAGTAAGCACCATGCGCAATGATGCATTGTCATTTGGAACAACCAGGTGTTTTGAGAAATTGCCAACTTGACAGGTTGCACTGCCGTGCTGGACCGCGGTGGGCTGCGCTTTCAGCATGGTGATTTTTGTGCAAGTTGGTACAAGGCGAAAAGGTGCCCAAGTTGGTACAAGGTACCTGAGGTTTCAAGGCCAAGTTTTTTTAAAAGCCCGCTCCCCGCCTCCCTACTTAATTAAGTAGGCTTCTAGTTACTAGAAGGCTTTATTGTTACTGAAGGTGCAACGATTCCCAGTGAAAGAATTAATCGTTATCTCCTCCCTTGGCAAGGAAGTTTTGGAAGTTGCGGCACATAGCAACACTCCCCACTGTGCCTGATTGGACTGCAGGATCATTGCTTCATGCTGAAGTTTGAGGAGGCAGAAGCAGCCTGCAGGGCCTATGAGGTACGATGCAAGCGCGAACTGTGGTCACTGCTTCGACCACAAGTGTATAATTATCCAAGAAGTTTCAACACTCTACTAGGAGCAAGGACGCTAGTAGTAGCTCCTGGCCTTACTACTACGAACAAGAAGCTATTAGAAACAAGAAGCTACTAGGGGCTCCTGGCATCGCTACTAGGAGCAAGGACGCTACTAGGGGCTACTAGGTTCCGATGTCCAAAAAGCTCCTATCAAAAACCTGAAACCTTGGAGGCCATCGCTATTAGGAGCAAGAAGCTACCAGGAACAAGGGGCACGACTACTAGTAGCCAATAGCTAGTGAGAGTGTCCCTCCACAGCCGCAGGCTAACTCTCCCAGAGCCACACTGCGCCTGACATGTCAGGATTTGGGCCTCCGAGTGTTCTTTGCGCCAATGTTGAACGATGATGCTGCCACCAAGCAGGAAAGGATGATGCACAATAGAGATTGGTTTTGGTTCGGCTGAGTGTTGAGGAGTCACTGTAGATGTGTCCCGCCACCATATTGGGGCTTTGAGTCAGTTCTTGCACCCTGGTGACGACAGTAACTGTTTGCCGTCCAGAATTGCACCACAGTGGTTGGAGGACTATGGTAAACCGTGCCTGGTTGTTGCAAAATGTTATTTGTCAACGTATGGGACTTAGTGAGCCTGAGAGAAATGCAAGCCCAACTCCAGGAAAAAGGGGCAAGAAATCATCAAAGCGAACCTGTTTCCGCTCTGCTCATGTTCAGCACCTTGTTGGCTTGATTGTTCAACACACGGACTCACAGGAAGGCAAGACCTCCATCTGAAGCCAACTCGAACCGCCCTCCGTTTTCTTTGTTTGGACGGTTCATAACATACATCCTCATACTTCGTTTGCAATTAGGGGGTGGCCATTGCTTGTAGGTAGGAGGCCATTGCATGTTCTCTCTCCTTCGTATCTGCGAGGTTCTCTACGAAAACTACGTGCCAGTGGCCCTTGACGCCGAAGAGCGCAACGCCCAGGGCCAGGGTGGTGGCCTCGGACCTGAGGGACGCTGGCGCACCACGTCAGGGCCCAGCAACGAAGCCAAATGCCAAGCGAACCTGGCGCTTTGGGAGGACGGGAGGATACTCAAACCTGCAAAGGTTGAACGCAAACATCCTGGTGTGTCAGTGGCTGGTCAATGTTGGTGTTTCAATGCTCGAAGGGTGAAGATTCACTTGCTCTATTTGGATTTGGAGTCTGGAGTCTGCAAATCTTACCACCTACCAGCTGCAAGAACGCTTTTTTCCAGGAAGAGGAAGGCAGATGTCAAAGGAAGTCTGGAGGAAGTTGAGGTATGAATGAAGGAAGGGAAGCTAAGGCACTGAAGGCACTAAGTTTCTATGCCCATAAACTCAAGATGAGACTTGCATACACCTCACTCCATGTTACGAGGCTTTGGCCTTTTGCAGGAGTGTGCTGAAAAGTTGCACGACCCTGCAAACGGCGTGAACATTGTTGTGGGCCCTGTCAGCCTTTTTTCATGCAGCCACCTAGTCGCAGCCAGAACAAGCATGCAGTACACGACGTGCTGCCCTTCGCTCGTGGCCACTGAAGTAAATTTATGGGTCCCAGTGCGCTGGGAAGACCATTACTTGCTTTTATCTTGCTTTCACGTCAACATACAGAGTGCGACCGGTTGTTTTCACCTGTCTATCGCCAGAATCCATTATTCGCCAAAATGTTTCCGCAGTGTTTTGACAGATTCTTCAGGTGAGCAGCTCCTAAGGGGAGCTACAGACATCCGAAGAAAGTACAAGCTTAATGGACACATCCACGCTGCTTGGAGCATTGGTGTGAGAGCCATCGCTTGTTACGTGGGGTACTGGATGTAAGTTCATGTCTTTCAACGCTGAGCCCAACCGTGCATGTTGCAAAGGCTGAGCCCTTGTTGCTGGAGTCCATCGCTAGTAGGTAGGAGGCCATCGCTATTAGGTAGGAGGACATCACTATTGGGCAGGCCATCGCTATTAGGTAGGAGGCTATTGCTCATAGGTAGGAGGCCATTCCATAATTAGTAGGTAGGAGGCCATTTCTAGTAGGTTGGAGGCCTTTGGACCTCAGCGCGCTCCACGACACCCCCAGGTCTTGGAATCACGGGCTCAAAGGCTTGAAGCCGCCCGCTGCTGGGCGTAGAGGGTGGAATGATCTTTGCATTTTGTGAGAGTCACCAGTCACCAGCTGATTCATGTCTAATGTTTCTTGGATGTGCCTTTGGCAACTTCGTGTCGCTGTCTTGTCTTCAGGGTCTTTCCAGGTAGAGGATGGTAGAGGAACGTCACCAACCCGAGGTCGTTTCAAGGCCCATGATGGCTCAGCTGTGTGGCTCGACTGCAAAGAGGCTACTGTATATAGTTGTTTGAATGTGTTCTATTCGCTGAGGGAGATCACTGTATTTACAAGTTCTCATGTTAAGTTTCCCTAACAACCTAGAAACCAAATCATTAGCGTGAGCTATCCTGCGTCCATACTAGTAGCTTAAGTAAGGTGCTAGTTACCTACCTCACCTCTACACGGCCTCACCCCCTACAGTGCTAGGAGAGAGGAACGGGCTAAAAGAAACAAACACTGTTTGTGTTCTGTTCGCTAAGAGGGGGAGAGTTCTTTAGTCGAACTCTTCTGTGAATGAGTGTGCTAGAGTGTATCATTGAGTGTGCCTTGATGATCCTTGGTTCTTAATCTTCAATGTATTCGTCTTGCTGGCGTGGCAATTTGAGATCCAATGTCCAGCAGTGGGTCATATTGGGTAAAGGGCAAGGCCCATTGAATGCCTATCGCCTACCAGTAGCTCAGGCTAGATTCTGGCCATAGAGGAACACAACTGCTTGGCGGTTTGCGCCGGACTTTTGACACCCTTTGCCTTTGCCGTTGCTGTCAGCGTCGGCACCTCGAGGCGTTTCTTAGATTCCACCGGCTTCCTCCATGTGCCAAGCACGACCACGTCGCTGGCTCATTGCTGCTCCTGGGTGAGAACACTAATTGGACCTTGGACAAATAGGCCGGTGAACCCCAGACTTTTCCATGTGGCAAGATGCTTGCAAGATGACCAAACATGACCAAACCACGCCGATCCACACCGCATGCCAGAATGACTTCAATATCGCTAGGCTGCAGTATCTGTAGCAGCTCACAGCCCAGAGAGATTTTGTGGATCTATTCAAATCCATTTGCTGAGATTGGCCAGGCTATCACTTATCAATTGGTTTGCTCTTGGGTTGGAGGCCATCGCTAGTAGGTTGGAGGCCATCGCTAATAGGTAGGAGGCCACCGCTCTTAGGTTGGAGGCCATTCTGTCCCTCATCCTGCTCCATCCCAGGTTGGCTGGAAGAGGCGGAGATGCAATTGATTGCCCAACGTGGAGCGGCGATTGTGCACAACCCGGCCACTCGCATCATCTCACACGGGAAATTGGGACGTGGGGCATTTGGATTGGCACTTGCCTGTCAAGACACCGGGAAGGGTGCGTTTCATATCGTTTCATTGATGATTTGTTGTACGGATTTTTATACTGATCAATTGCAGACACGGGTGGGAGGAAATGTCCGGGCATTTTGCCTTCCGCTCGTTGTATTGCAGCGACATCGTCGCGAATGGACCTTCCTGAATGGTCCTGAATGCTTGTCCGGTAGATTTTGGTAGCGCAATGTGCAATGTATAGGCCATCACTATTAGGTTGGAGGGAGGCCATCGCTATTAGTAACAAGGCATGGCTACTAGTAGCTAGGGCATTTCTACTAGTAGCAAGGACGCTTCTAGGTTAGAGGCCATCGCTAGGTTGGAGTCACTGAGGTCTCCAACCTGAGATCCTTGGAATGGGCACAGCTGCCGCCTTCGAGTCGATGAATCAGGGGTGGTGGACGGATGTTTTTTTTTGTTTTTTTTCTCGCCAAGTCATGGGAATTAAATGCTACGTCAACATCATGCCATACCTTTGCAGCCTTTGCACCATGACGTTTCAAACCTTTAATTCCAAGGATTGGGTTCTGGCATTTGACGCTTGGATGGCGTTTGGAACCTACTTGTTCTGAGACACCACAAGGAAGTGAAGGAAGGAGACATTGGAAATTCTTGGCGAAGGATTTGCTGCTCTGTATGCCACAGGACTAGTCACCCCCTTAATGTGGAATTGGAACATACAAGAACATGGCTCACGAAAACTGTTGGCATCCTGTAGCAGCGTTCTTGTGCGAAGTCTTGGAAGTGAAACTGAAACTCGTAGAGTCCTTGTAGGAGCCTGTAGTCGTACAGGGTTTTATAAAGGAGCTGAGCTGTGTCTACATTCTACATATTTCAGTAAAGGTGAGACTGGCAAGGCAACGTTCGCCGGAACCTCGAGCAGAAGGTCCCTGTGGCCATTGGGATTGATGGTGCTATGTCCTCAGATGGTCAGGCCAGCCGGGGGCAAAGGACTTGGCTTCCTTTCTTTGTTCCACACCTGCTTCCCATGGGTGGCTTAAAGACACAAAACACATCAATGCTGTTAATAGCTTAGCAGCTAATCAGCTAATCAAAATCCTGTCAGATGCTCTCAGGCAGTGCCTGAATACCGCAACAGCCTGAGCGGATGAAGTCACGACAGCATGGCGCAGCACAGTGAACAGTGCGATTCTCTGCGCAGTCGCATCGCAAGTGTCCCGTTGGCAAACCTGTGACATGTCGAGCAGCCCCTCATGTCCTGCATGTTGACGGAGCTCGATTCGGATAAGAGTGTTATGCATCAAATTTCACGGACTTGACGTTTGCCCACACTATCCCAGGTTACTAGACCAGCAGCAGGCAAAGGCGTTTTTTCCTACTACCCCTTGCATCCCCCTTCGCTATTTGGTGCCAGAAGTCCACGGGAAACATTCCGGGATTATGTTCGAAGAAGCTCTGATATACACCAGAACTGAGGCCCCATGGAAAGACTCAGACAATGGATTCAAGCCTCCACCCGCT